ACAGTCTGCTTTGGTCTTAACTATCTTGAGCAGTTTAGTATCATCTGCAAACTTTGCCACCTCACTGTTTACCCCTTTCTCCAGATCATTTATGAATAAGTTGAATAGGATTGGTCCTAGGACTGACCCTTGGGGAACACCACTAGTTACCCCTCTCCATTCTGAAAATTTACCATTTATTCCTACCCTTTGTTCCCTGTCTTTTAACCAGTTCTCAGTCCATGAAAGGATCTTCCCTCTTATCCCATGACAACTTAATTTACGTAAGAGCCTTTGGTGAGGGACCTTGTCAAAGGCTTTCTGGAAATCTAAGTACACTATGTCCACTGGATCCCACTTGTCCATATGTTTGTTGACCCCCTCAAAGAACTCTAATAGATTAGAAAGACATGATCTCCCTTTACAGAAACCATGTTGACTTTTGCACAACAATTTATGTTCTTCTGAAAATTTTATTCTTTACTATTGTTTCAACTAATTCGCCCGGTACTGACGTTAGACTTACCGGTCTGTAATTGCCAGGATCACCTCTAGAGCCCTTCTTAAATATCGGCATTACATTCGCTATCTTCCAGTCATTGGGTACAGTAGCTGATTTAAAGGACAGGTTACAAACCATAGTTAATAGTTCTGCAATTTCACATTTGAGTGCTTTCAAATCTCTTGGGTGAATGCCATCTGCTCCCGGTGACTTGTTACCGTTAAGTTTCTCAATTAATTCCAAAACCTCCTCTAGTGACACTTCAATCTGTGACAATTCCTCAGATTTGTCACCTACAAAAGACGGCTCAGGTTTGGGAATCTCCCTAACATCCTCAGTTGTGAAGACTGAAGCAAAGAATTCATTTAGTTTCTCTGCGATGACTTTATCGTCTTTAAGTGCTCCTTTTGTATCTCGTTCATCCAGGGGCCCCACTGGTTGTTTAGCAGGCTTCCTGCTTCCGAGGTACTTTAAAAACATTTTGTTATTACCTTTTGAGTTTTTGGCTAGCTGTTCTTCAAACTCCTCTTTGGCTTTTCTTATTACCTTTTTACATTTAATTTGGCAGTGTTTATGCTCCTTCCTATTTACCTCACTAGGATTTGACTTCCATTTTTTAAAAGATGCCTTTTTATCTCTCACTGCTTCTTTTACATGGTTGTTAAACCATGGTGGCTCTTCCAGGTGATCCTGTTATAGTTACCTCTTGGACCAGATCCTGCGCTCCACTCAGGACTAGATCGAGAGTCGCCGCTTCCCTTGTGGGTTCCTGTGCCAGCTGCTCCAAGAAGCAGTCATTTAAAGTATCGAGACATTTTGTCTCTGCATTTTGTCCTGAGGTGACATGTACCCAGTCAATATGGGGATAATTGAAATCCCCCACTATTATTGAGTTTTTTAATTTTGATAGCCTCTCTCATCTCCTTTAGCATTTCATTGTCACTATCACTGTCCTGGTCAGGTGGTGGATAATAGATCCCTACTGTTATATTCTTATTAGTGCATGGAATTACTATCCATAGAGATTCTATGGAACATGTGGACTCATTTAAGATTTTTATTTCATTTGATTCTACATTTTCTTTCACATATAGTGCCACTCCCCCCAGGCCCCACATGACCTGTTCTGTCCTTCCGATATATTTTGTACTGTGGAATGATTGTATCCCATTGATTGTCCTCACTCCACCAGGTTTCTGTGATGCCTATTATATCAATATCCTCCTTTAACACGATGCACTCAAGTTCACCCATCTTATTATTTAGACTTCTAGCATTTGTGTACAAGCACTTTAAAAACTTGTCTCTGTTTATTTGTCTGCCCTTTTCTGATGTGTCAGATTCTTTATGTGAATGTTTCTCATCTGATCTGGCCCATACTTTGTCCTCTTTCATCCTCTCCTCCTGACTAAAACCTAGAGAATCTCTATCAATAGACTCTCCTCTAAGAGAAGTCTCTGTCGGATCCACATGCGCCTCTGCAGCAATTGGTTTTCCCCCATCTCTTAGTTTAAAAACTGCTCTGCAACCTTTTTAATGCTAAGTGCCAGCAGTCTGGATCCACTTTGGTTTAGGTGGAGCCCATCCTTCCTGTATAGGCTCCCCCTATCCCAAAGTTTCCCCAGTTCCTAATAAATGTAAACCCCTCCTCTCTACACCATCGTCTTATCCACGCATTGAGACTCTGAAGCTCTGCCTGCCTACCTGGCAGAGTGAATAAAAATACATATAGATGAAGAAGAGTAATCAAGACTCAGTTCAGCACTCACTGAAGCAATGAAAGTCTGGTCATTCAATAGATGAAGGCTCAGATCCCCAATGGGTGTTGTGGGCACCATCAATACCACAACAGAGAAAACAGCTAACAGGAAAACAGATCACAATGGATCAACAACATTTCCTCAACAAGCCAAGAAAATAGACAACACCTGAGTAAAGCCAAGGGCTGACATAATGATGGATGGTCAGATAGTTTCTCCACAGAAAAGAATAATCCATCCATAAGCAGTAGGGCACACTTCTCAGGAGTAAACATAATGACAAGTCAACATTAAGGCCAACAAGGGGAGCCAATATAAATGTAAAGTCCCCACTGTGATTTTGCTGATCCTCTCTATAATTTCTCCTTTTCACTGTGTGTATGTGTGTATGTGTGTGTTTGTGTGAGAGAGAGAGAGTCAAATGTAAATAGGAGCTGTGCAAAAAGGATGAGGCTTGTTTTGCATTTTTTTGTTTGCATCATTCATCATTTCATTGTGGGCCATTTCACAACCCAGACATTTTTCCCCATTAAATAGCCATTTTCACATCAGGTGGCAGGCAAAATTTTGCATCCTTTTGATCCAAAGAGATTTTTGTCCAAATCAAATTTTGAAGTATTTGCCTTTCCTTCCCTCAGAACTGAGATCATTTCTGGAGGGAAAGCAGTTCCCTATTCACTGAAAACAAAACTCCAATTTGGAGTGAATATCTTACATTTGAGAGAGTGGAAGGGATTATTTTTATTTGTTTTGTTTTCCACAATCAAACCATTTCAGAAAAGTCAGAATAAAATGGAAAATCTAAGTCTTCAGTGTATTTAATATCATTTCTGTCTTCTCACATGCCTCCAGGTATAATGGTTACCCTGAGTAAGCAGAGTTTCTTTGGAGGCAAATAGTCCTCTTCCTTGCCACTCCTCCAATTTTACATATGGATGAATGGAATCTCATCGTTAGACAGGTAGATTCAGCCTCATAAAAGAATGCACATAAATCTAAGGCTGTACTTTCTTTTTACCCTGTTCCTGGTTATCTTCCTGACAGGGTATTTAATGAACGAAAAAGAAGTTTCTCTGATTATATTTGGCAAGGGTGTAGCCCATGGACTGAGTTCTGCATTGTCTGAATTGCCCAAGAACATGGGGAGTTGGCTTGTAGTGATCTTCTTGTTGCCAGACTGAAAAATACGATCACATGAAGTCTAGATGACTCTTACAATACTTGGCTCTCCTTGACATTTTCTGCATGAAGCCTCCCTCCCTTGACATGTTACATCCAATTTTCTTCCCATAAAATTCCGTCTGCCATTAAATCTTAAATGGAATACCTCTCTGTTAATGCACATAGCATTAATAAAAGAGCTTATGCAATTTTACAAGCAAATTTACAGTTAACTGTCATAAACTTCTTCTGCATGTTCCCTTCCGATTTTTGAGGGTTATCTAGAGATTTGTGTCTAGATATAAGCTACAATCTCTATAAGCAGCCTGTTTCCTCCTGTCGGTTTCACTGACAGATGGCACTAGACAATTTTGAAGACATTACAATATACTTCCATAGTAGCAAACCAAGACTGTGATGTCACAAGCATCTGACTCTGAGGTCACTGAAGGACAGAGGGGGAAAAAGGGAGGCTGGGCTTGTGATGACTCACAAACATCAGCATCCATGGGAAAAGCATGGCAGTTTAATTGGATTGTAGTAAAATGGGATCATGAGTGTGAAGAGAGCGGTGTAGCCTACTGCGGAGTGCAGGAGTGAAAAGAGTGTGGTCCATGGAGGAAGCATGGGCCCCTGAATTGTACAAAATGTGCTCTAGTCACCTTAAATTGCAATCAGCAGGTGTTGCCTACAGAGACTGCAGGTTCCAGTAGGCAGAAGATGTCTCACTGTTAATTCCTCATTGTTATTTATGATGACAATATTGGGTTTACTATTTACTGAATGATGATGATGAGCTTAGTACTATACAGAAAGAGTGCCTGACACTGCATGGTGCTGAACATCTGCCAGTCACTGAGTAAGGAAACCGCTCCCTGAGTGATTGCCCTTTGTATAATGGGGATGATGACATTTACTAACATAGGAACAAAACTGACATATAGGCACAGTCCCAGTTTTGGGTGATGTGAAGCTGCCATGTCCCCCGAGGGCTACAAGGAGCTCTTGTGCTTCCAAAAGATACAATCCATGGCTGCTCCTGAACCCTTTGTGTTGGCTAGTGGTGCTAATCTGGTGCAGTCCTAGCATTCAGATGAGCACAAGCAGAGCTGGGCAGGAAATGGTTTTCCCATCCCACCAATAGTTATCAGGAGATACATCAAAACTGCTACTTTTCTGCAAACAGTTTTGTTTCAAAGAATCAGCATTTTCCAATGAAAAAAATCATTTGGGTGGAAAATTCCCAACCAGCACAAAGCACAAGGACTGTCTGTGATTCTGTTGTGCTTGAGCATAGAGGTGCAGGTGCAATGAAGAAAGGTCTTTGCAACTTCTCCATTTCTTGTGCACTCACATAGGGCACAATCTAGCCTTCGCTCCGTGAAGCCCTTGGAGCACTGCAGGTGAAAATCACTGTGTGCTGAGTGTCTTCTTTAAACAAGATTGGTAAATATTTTGTTATAAATCTAGAGGGTTAAATATATAAACGTGGTAGAGCCATACACATAGACAAACATTCACATGCTTTTATCGGCAAGAGGTGGAGTATTTTGGGCAAGCTACATAAATGTCTAACTAACTTATACATTGTTTATTAGATGCAGATTTGATTCTGGCCCATATTTGTCACAGGAGGTTGCACCATTAATCAGGTAAAGATTTTGCAAGATGCATCCAACTACAACAGGTTGTGTCTTTCCTTTCTCTTCCAAGGTCCTCATCTCACACTCACCTATGCCAGCCCTCACTCTTTTCTGCCCTTGTGTCCTGCTACCTATTGTGGTTTTTTATGAACACCTTTCTTTATTCACTCCCCGCTTTTCTAGTCCTTCTTGGATCAAACCTGGCTTGCAAGCTGGCTGTCTCAAAGTGGAGGGATAGGAACTGGAACTAACTTTTTTCATCTTAAAGCCACCTTCAATGATGTTCACAGAACAATGAAAAGAAAGTGAGACAGGGACTGTTGGGCCTGTCTGAGAAGAGGAATTGGCAGCCAGAAGGGAGAGCGAGGAAGCTGCAATACATTGCTCTTCTTATTTGTAAACAGAATCCCTGTGGGAGCTCTGTATAAGAGAAGCCTTCATTAATTACATCTGAGGAAGAATGTCTGCGTTAGAGCTGGGTAATTTGACACCATTCAGATACGGTTTAGATTGCTCTCCCTGAAGCTGTGGTACAGACTCTGGGCTCATCAGTCATGACTGGTGATGAAATAAAGCAAAGCCCATAAGGGATATTAGGTATTCTAAAATGTTACACAATAGTAAATCAGATCGAGCTCCATGGTTCATCTGAAATCCAATGCTGAACTTTGGATTCAGGCAAGAAAGTAGCTAATTGCAGTGTACTTACCAAATACCCTACAGTGTTTTGCATAGAAACACCTTCTATAACACCTCTTAGCCAAAGATCTTAAAAGGCTGAACAATCATACTTTAATGAAGGCCCCCAAACACACCTCTGTTCAGCAGGCACCATTTAAAACAATGGGCCACAAAAAGGAGAAATACATTAAAGATTGTGAGGTGCTCAGCCATACAAGTCCAGACAGCGAGAGAGAGAGAGAGGTCTGAGGTCAGCTGGAGAAAGTTCTTAGAGCTTTCTTTTTAATTTTTAAACCTGGTTTATTATTTCTAAATACACCAGTAGAAAATGCATTTTAGTACAGTAAACTGAACTACCTATGACTTTGAGAGTCACCAAACACACACACACACACACACACATTATAAAGAGAGGACATTCAGTTTAGCTCAGCCCATAATGATAGACAGATTTTAATTATATGAAACTGAAGCAGACAGAAAAGATTTTCTTGATTATAGTCTTCATTGAAGTCATACAGGCCTGAAAATCTTCTCCCCCTAGAATTACCTCACATGTCTTAAATTAGTGTGGGGGAACTGAGGGCATTCAGCAGGATTTGTACCTTGGTTCCAATGCCCATGTGTTTGGTATGGAATGTTTATTGTTTAGAAGCCAGAAGATACCTTTCTGATAGGATTCCGCTAATGCAAGCCTGATTCCATGCCCATGTTTTTCTTTACTGAAGCAGTAAGTCTCTGAACTTTGCTTGAACTTGCAATTCTCAGAACAGTACAGTACACATTTAATGCAATCCACCCTATTCAGATCTAAGTGGTATTTTATTATTTCACAAACCTCATAATCATTTTAATATTAAGAAGTTGCCTGGCTAGTAATCAGAATGCTGTTAATACACATTCCAGACAGGGACATCCCCTAAAACATTCTTCCACCCCCAGGTTTATCCACCAAGTCTGAAAAACAAGAAGGCCAGGACTCTTTCCAGTGGCAAAGCTATGTTCAATAATACATGGTCACAAGGCTGTTTTAAATAATATTTCCATTATTGTTCTGAATATGCCAAAAATAGATGCAATCTTTTATCTTCAGTGGAAGATTGCATTTGAACAAAACTTTTCTTGCAGAATATACAATGAAATGTATCTCAGGGCTCTAAAAAAGATGCAGTGTTTGCAAAATATTGTTCCATTAGCACAAATTAAGAAAAGGGGCATATAAGGTAGCAGTCTTCTGCCTGAATTGGTAATTAACCAACACCTCATCTTGGTGCTAGGGGATATTGTGCTGTTAAGATGCATACAGTTACCATTTACCCAGGTATGTTAAAATTCCTATGACCCTTTTGCAAAAGTTAAGGATGTTAATCCTATGGTCCTGGCAAAATTTGTAAATACAATCTGCAGTTTTTAGTGCATGCAGCTCTCTTCTTCATCTCTGGTCCTTGTTGCACTGCATTGTTAAATGGCTGCTGTGTTCAGTTCCAAATTTTATTTCAATAGGGCTGCCTGCAGAGGAAGTAACTATGCAACTTGCAAAGTAAGTGTGGCAGAATCAACATAATGGTCTCTCCTGAACCTTCATTCAGAAAAACAGCAGAATCTTTGGTAATCATTCTTTTATGTACATGGGGGCGGTGAGGGGAGGGCTCAAATCCCTAAGAATATGAAGATATTTGTTTTAGTGCTGTGATGGGGCATACAGGCTCCACACTAGCAAGATGAGGGTTAATGAGGATCAGGTTGGCCCCTGCTACCACTGGTAGCAGATGAAGTAGTGGAGAGTGGAGTTAAAAGGAGAAAGCCTACTTAGTTTGGCGCTATCCACAAAGAGAGCAGAATTCCACTTCCCCCTAGGTGAGGGAAACCTAGTTTCAGCTAACCATCTGAGACAACTTGCTGCCTGGATGAGCCTTCCAGTGGATGAGATGACCAGGCCCAAGAGAACTAAATAAAAGGACTGGCCGCATGAAGACAAACTCTGAATAGAAGGGTGGGGTCCTGCCAAAAATGCCTTGGACAATCCTGAGTTCATAAAAAAGAATGAGGAGTACTTGTGGCACCTTAGAGGCTAACAAATTTATTTGGGCATAAGATTTTGTGGGCTAAAACCCACTTCATCAGATGCTTTGTTAGTCTCTAAGGTGCCACAAGTACTCCTCGTTCTTTTTTGATGATACAGACTAACATGGCTACCACTCTGAAATCTGAGTTCATAGTATTCCATTATTTTTGGACTTTAATACCCTGAAAGGGGTGCAACTCAAGTGTGCCTTTAGCCAGAAGGTTAGAGCACCATTGCACCAGATCCATACGAGGGGGCAACGGACCACTAGAGGCCCCACAACAGAGAAAGTGAATAGTGCCCCATTGGAACCCAAAAGGGCACCACGGAGGTGAGTATGTCACAAGTGTGTATACCAAAAAGGTCCATACTTGTGACAACAAATATTATAATTACTCCAAGATCCTTGGCTCATAAGTTGTATGAGTGGACAAAAAGTGGGAGATAAAGAAAGAAAGGGAGTAAGCAAGAGAATGTTTGCAGATCCTTGCTATTTTAACAGTGGGTTTGGGTCACCAAAAAAGAAGCCAGACTTGTACTGGCTCCAGAGTACTCAACAGAAAGGTCATCAGTTCTGGCTGTTAGGATACAGTATGTCTCTCGAGGTAGTGCTGAATGAAATCTGCACAGGCATTTGCAGTTATTTATAATTGTTGAGAAATTATGTTGCTTTTCATTTTTAACAGCGTAAAAATCCAGTTTGTTGCCCCCATGGGACAGAAGGCTTTAGAAGAAAAGCAATCTGTAGACGTGGTTTCTTTCTGCTCTACAAACACCGAATAGTCCATCCACAGCTAACTGTAATGGCGTGGAGCTCCCCAGATGAAGCTGAAAATGTGGAAGTCATTAAAGCTTTATAAACAAACCACTGTCTGAACCAAAAACTGAATTGGTGTTTGGATTTTTTTTCCCTTTCTTTTTCATTTCATGCCTGATTATCATCAACAAACCCTAAATTATGATAATAAAATATAAAATTACATCGGGCCTACATAAAATTCTCACTGTAATTTCAAAAGGATATATTCTTCTTCACTTTCTGTCCTAATGTTTTTGCAGTGTTACTATGTACCATTGAGCAGTTACCACATTTCAACCCAGAGGTGTCTGATACACAACCATGTTACCACAGGCCCTTTGGGAGTTTTGTATTGACTTTCAGAGGATCAGCATTGGGCCTTAAAGGCCTGAACCTACCAGATACCAAGCATCTTCAAAGGTGCACGGAACCTTGCAAGAGACACTGAGCATCTTGTAGCACTGGCCCTTGGTTGGAAGGGGAGGGAAAGGTTTTCTCAAAGAAAGGCACTTAACAAATGTGTCCCACAGTTTTCAAAGGTGACTAGTGATTTGGAGAGCTCCCTTTTTCTCCCCTCACTAACTTGAGATAAATGAAAGGGGGCTGATTTTCAGGAACAGCTGAGCATCCGTCCTCTGAAAAATCAGGCCTCTTTGAGATTGTCCCAAATTGGCAACAAACAATTGAGAGGAACCCAAAAGCGCTTGTTATTTTTTTATTAGTAGACTTTTGTATTTGTGAATAAAGGGAATTCATGATAGTTTGATTTTTGCAAAACTTTTTTTATTTGGATTTGTTTTGTTTTTGTGGTGTGAAAATTTGTGATGTGCTAGGATTTCACCCAAGGTACTGAAATCTCTGCTCCATTCAATCTTTGGCTCCTATACTGTGTATCAGTTATGATGGTAATCTTTTGACAGGTCTGGTAGTGACTGAACTGTGATCACCAACTGGATCTCAAGATGATATGGGTGATTGGTAATTTATACATATTTAACACAGATAAACAGATCAAATGACAGTAACCAGAGGGTAGCAGCTTTGGCTTACTGCTGCTTTGCCTTAGCATATGTCTTCTCTGCAGAGTTAGCCCAGGTGATCAGCAGCCAAGTCTGAGCCTAGCCTGGATGTGAGCAGCCACCAAAACTACACAAGTTACTGTGTTCTCACTGGTGCTGCACTCACTTGTGTGCCACTAGGACTTCAGGGGGCATACCCCATGCTGCTTTGTGCTCCAGTAAACTGAGCCACTCTATGATTCTGCCCAGTAAATTATGGGAGAACTTGTCTGTCATTCTGGGATATGGGAAGAATTGTGGAAAAGCACTGGATGACTATCGGCACTCAAATGGTTTAGCCTGCATCCTCACTGCAAGGTGGGTGGTTCACCAGCCTCACCAAAAGCAAAACCTGGACTCTAACCCATACCTCCAGCCGTGCCATCTAGGTCAAGTTGAAAGCACCACCAATTCCTGTGCGAGGGTTTTATGTGTGGATGAGGGAGTTAGATGCAACACCGAGTCTTTATTTACAAAACCACCGAGTTATCTGATAATCCCTTTCTTCTGTTGTCTCTGTAGAGACTTAGCCCTGGTCTACACTAGGACTTTAGGTCGAATTTAGCAGCGTTAAATCGATTTAAACCTGCACCCGTCCACACAATGAAGCCCTTTATTTCGACTTAAAGGGCTCTTAAAATCGATTTCCTTACTCCACCCCTGACAAGTGGATTAGCGCTTAAATCGACGTTGCCGGCTCGAATTTGGGGTACTGTGGACACAATTCGATGGTATTGGCCTCCGGGAGCTATCCCAGAGTGCTCCATTCTGACCGCTCTGGACAGCGCTCTCAACTCAGATGCACTGGCCAGGTAGACAGGAAAAGAACCGCGAACTTTTGAATCTCATTTCCTGTTTGGCCAGCGTGGCAAGCTGCAGGTGACCATGCAGAGCTCATCAGCAGAGGTGACCATGATGGAGTCCCAGAATCGCAAAAGAGCTCCAGCATGGACTGAACGGGAGGTACGGGATCTGATCGCTGTTTGGGGAGAGGAATCCGTGCTATCAGTACTCCGTTCCAGTTTTCGAAATGCCAAAACCTTTCTGAAAATCTCCCAGGGCATGAAGGACAGAGGCCATAACAGGGACCCGAAGCAGTGCCGCGTGAAACTGAAGGAGCTGAGGCAAGCCTACCAGAAAACCAGAGAGGCGAACAGCCGCTCTGGGTCAGAGCCCCAAACATGCCGCTTCTATGATGAGCTGCATGCCATTTTAGGGGGTTCAGCCACCACTACCCCAGCCGTGTTGTTTGACTCCTTCAATGGAGATGGAGGCAATACAGAAGTAGGTTTTGGGGACGAAGAAGATGATGATGAGGAGGTTGTAGATAGCTCACAGCAAGCAAGCGGAGAAACCGGTTTTCCCGACAGCCAGGAACTGTTTCTCACCCTAGACCTGGAGCCAGTACCCCCCGAACCCACCCAACGCTGCCTCCTGGACTCAGCAGGCGGAGAAGGGACCTCTGGTGAGTGTACCTTTTAAAATGCTATACATGGTTTAAAAGCAAGCATGTGAAAGGATTACTTTGTCCTGGCATTTGCGGTTCTGCCTTTGCAAAAGGTTTCTGGGGAGGGCAGCCTTATTTCGTCCTTCATGGTAGGACACTTTACCACTCCAGGCCAGCAACACGTACTGGGGAATCACTGTAGAACAAAGCATTGCAGTGTATGTTTGCTGGCATTCAACCAAAATCACGCGGTGGGAGGAGGCAAAATGCGACCTTGTAACGAAAGCACATGTGCTATGTATGTAATGTTAACAGCAAGGTTTACCCTGAAAGAGTGTAGCCACTGTTTTATAAAATGTGTCTTTTTAAATACCGCTGTCCCTTTTTTTTTTCTCCACCAGCTGCATGTGTTTCAATGATCACAGGATCTTCTCCTTCCCAGAGGCTAGTGAAGCTTAGAAAGAAAAAAAAAACGCACTCGCGATGAAATGTTCTCCGAGCTCATGCTGTCCTCCCACACTGACAGAGCACAGACGAATGCGTGGAGGCAAATAATGTCAGAGTGCAGGAAAGCACAAAATGACCGGGAGGAGAGGTGGAGGGCTGAAGAGAGTAAGTGGCGGGCTGAAGAGAGTAAGTGGCGGGCTGAAGACAGGGCTGAAGCTCAAAGGTGGCGGCAGCGTGATGAGAGGAGGCAGGATTCAATGCTGAGGCTGCTGCAGGACCAAACCAGTATGCTCCAGTGTATGGTTGAGCTGCAGCAAAGGCAGCTGGAGCACAGACTGCCACTGCAGCCCCTCTGTAACCAACCGCCCTCCTCCCCAAGTTCCATAGCTTCCACACCCAGACGCCCTGGAGGCCTCCGGCCAACCAGCCACTCCCCCACAGAGGATTGCCCCAAAAAAAAGAAGGCTGTCATTCAATAAATTTTAAAGTTGTAAACTTTTAAAGTGCTGTGCTTAAAGTGCTGTGTGGCATTTTCCTTCCCTCCTCCACCACCCCTCCTGGGATACCTTGGTAGTCATCCCCCTATTTGTGTGATGAATGAATAACGAATGCATGACTGTGAAGCAGCAATGACTTTATTGGCTCTGCAAGCAATGATTAAAGGGAGGAGGGGAGGGCGGTTAGCTTACAGGGAAGTAGAGTGAACCAAGGGGT